GGTTTTCGGCTGCCATGTGGCTATTTCACCAGGATATGAGTTTTATCAATGGTGTCCCGCTTTACCAAAGTTAACATCTGGTCACTTTACTGTGCAGATCACCGTTGCCAGCTGAGATCTCAATTTCCAAGTGGCATTGCCCCACTGGCAGTGGCTAAGGCTGAGTGCCAGCCAGTTGAAGGCCTGAAGGCTGCGCCTCAATAAACTGAGCGCCCCCTGACTGACAGCCAGAAAGGACATAGGGAATTTACTCCAAAAGCGGTCGAAGGAAGTGGAAAAGCTTGCAAACAACCTTCTTAGAGCCTCCAGAAAAATAATTTGGACATCCTGATTTCGGTTTGTTGAATTAACACTCAGCAAAAAACCTAGTTGAGCAATGCCAGGTATGTGACCTACAGAATAGAGTCAGTGCGGGAAGCTGCGACGTTGTAGAATCTGTTACATGGCAGTAGAAAAAGAACGTAGTCTATGAAGAAAACATGGGTAAATAGGGTTGTGTAGTAATATGAAATACTATTATATGGCAATTAAATGAGATTTATCGTATTAGCACAAAGAATTAAAACAGTGCTGGATAAATGGACCAGAATTTTAAGTTCTCATGGAATCCTGACTTCCTGGACCAGTAAGGATATTGAATGAGAAGCCCTGGTGGGGCACAGTGGCTAAAGTGCTCAGCTGCCTGTGGAGGTCAGTGGCTCAAAACCACCAGTGGTGGTTCAGTGGAAGACCATGTGGCAATCCGCTTTCATGAAGATTAGTCGTGGAAACTTTGGGGGGCAGCTCTCGCTGAGTCTCACTGCCACTGAGCTAATTCTGACTCATAGAGACCCTACAGCACAGACTAGTACTGCCCTTGGGGGCTCCCCAGATGTATGGGACAGCGCTACTCTGTACTGTAGTGCCACCAGGAGCTGCAGTGGGTTGCAAAGATGGATGGACCACTGGAACTATTTTCCCAAGATAATCATTAAGCGTTAAACTAAAAGTATTCCCTGAAGTTGTCGTTGTCATCTTGGGGAAGATGAGAAGCAAGAAATGGAAATGGAAAGAAGTATCAATGAGCCCTTCATTCTCTTAAATTAGCATCTGTTAATTCTGGGTAATAGGTGATTTATGGTATTACTACTAATATTTTCTATGGGTTAAAAGACAATGTCTTTTTTGATAAAATTGTGATGCTACGTGACCATTTCCCCAAACAACTGATAATTACTTTTAGTAGGGTTTCCTAATGCATTTTCAATTCTATAGTTCAGAGAATTGAGCTTATTTTACTCATAATCAGAAAACAAGAATTACACTTGCTTTAAAATACATTTAATAAAAATAATCCAGTTTCATATATTTTACACGTATAGAATATTTACAAATTCAAGTCTACAGCCTTTGTTTACTACTTCTTCATGATCTTTTTTGACTGTTCCTTCAGCTGTGAAATACTGTCCAGTCTTCTCCACAGTTAAAAAATTAGTTTCTTAGGCAATCCTCCTAGGTAGTAAAAAGACAAAAAGTGTTTACCTTTAATCTTATTGTAATTGTACCCAGTCACTATATTCCAACTATTTATTCTACCTACCACCTTTCAGACAGCACTTGCTGAATGTTACGCACCAGGAGGGATGTGTGAAGGGAACAAATACACACTAGTAGTTCTCACCACCAACTAAAGAGAGTCTGGGATTTCCCCCCCAAAGCTACGTATTTAAATTTTTTTTGACAAAACAACCTCATTACCTTCAAAGTACTCTCCATTACACTTAATAAATTTGTCAAATCTTGGAAACATTAAAAAACTCATCTGTTAGGATAGCTGACATCACCTCCCTCGTTTTTTCTTCAACTCTTCTACATCATCAAATTGCTGTCCTCATGCTCCCCTTCATTCACAGAAACATACAAAAGGTGGCAGGAAGTGAGGTCAGGTAAGTCAGGTGGGTGGGGCAAGAGAGGCATGCTTTGCCAAAAACTGGTGCACTGAGATGGCTGCATGAGCAGAAGCATTGTGGTAGCAGTAGCAAAACCAGTCCCCCGTTTGCCACAAATCAGGCTCTTTTGTTGCACACTGTTACACAATCTTTTCAGAACCTCTATAAATAGAAAGCTTGATTAACAGTCCGACCTGGTGGAATGAACTCCAAATGCACTATCCCCCTCACATCAAAAAAATAAATGGGCATCCTCTTGATCTTTGATTTCACTCGATGAGCTTTCTTTGGGCCAGGTGACGATGGCATCTTCTACAGGCTTGACTGATGTTTGCTTTTGGAGTCATTAAGA